GGTACCGGCAAACCTGCCAGCTCTGTATCTGTGCAGAGAAGGGAGAATCAGCCAGACATTTCTGTTTCACAAAAACATGCACACACAATTTGTTATACAGTATGTATATGCTCCACTATTGCATGGTATTCCAAGGAAGTATCCCGTTGAGGTCCGACTGGGCCAGATCCCCACCAGCTTGGCTTCAAGCACCAGGCACACCTTGACCCTGAGATCCTTTCCACATGCCCTGCTGGCAAGACAGGTGCCCCCCCCCATTTGTGCCTTGGGATGTTCCTGCCTAAGTGCAGAACCTGACATTTTGGGCCCATTTCTTCAATCTGGTAAGGTCATCTTGGATCCTGATTCTGTCTTCTGAGGTATGAGCTACACCCTCCCAGTTTGGTGCAGCCTGCCTGCCTGGTGCCCTCCCCATCCTGGACCCCCCCCCATGTGTGGAATACAAAGAGGCAACTTTCCCTTTTGCAGTAGCTGCAAAAGGGGTTGGGAGGTGGGTTCGAGTGGGGTGTGGGGGTGTTGCTATGGTGCAGTTCTCAAAGCTGCCCTCTCAGGATTTGTTTTCATCAACATGAATTACGTCTGAACTTTCTAAACTAAGAAGCTTTCCCTTGCAAACAATTCCAATGACTCACCACTTGGCTGATGTCTCGGAGCTGCTCTGGCAGGGGAGGCTGATGGGAGGCTGCCTTCTCCTCTGCAGCCGCCTTGAGTCACTGCAAGGACCTTTCTCCAAGGCTCTGCCTCCGCTCGCTTTCCCTGCCCTTCATTCTCCTGCCCTTCACTCCCTAAATGCAAGAGATCTCTGTACCAAGGGCAGGATCTATCTCAGAGGCATCATTGAGAGTGGAGACAGAAAGTGGGCTGAAAGGGTGTCCAGTTGCCAGTTGCACTGGATTGGGTCAGAAGGTCTTTCACCTAGAAAAAGATGCTGACCTTTTCCACCTGGCAGCCAAAGCACCAGTTCTCCAGAATAGCCTCCCACTCTCGCTTTTTGTGGTTCAGGCACACAGTCAGGTCAGTAACCGTGCAGTTCTGTGCCCCATTTATATCAGCCCCCCTGGAATTGCTGAAGCCTGGATAAGACACACACACACTTCCAAGTATCTGTTTGTCACATTCACACCTTGTAGCTGAACACCGAAATAACGTCCTGTGTGAGGAGGAGGCCAAGCGCAGGCTCTGGCGCGCTCAGGGCTCCTGCCATGACGCCTGCCACCGGAGAAGGGAAGCCTTGCATCCAAGCATGTGGTTCTTCCCTCAGTGGGAATCTCACATTCCCCCTTTCGAGAGGAATCTCACATTTCTGCCCCTTCAGCTCCAGGAGGCTCTTTCTTTTCCGAGATGTGGAGTTTGCATGAAACATAATCTACATGTTTAAACGGGGGGGGGGGGGGGATATGACCCAGCAAAGTTCACTTCTGTTCTCATAACTGAATAGAGCAAAACTCTCCCTGCGTTCCGAGACCAAGTTTGTTAGCAATAATGGCTGCCCAGTTCCATTACATTCAGGGTCCCAGTTTCAAAATGGACGAATTGTGGTAATTGAATGCTGCACCAGAGAATTTCAGATGGATTATTTTTCTCTGGACTATTTTTATAACAAATAAGAAATGGGGGGAGGAAATTGCCACTGATACTTTTCCCAGATTCCAGTTAAAGGGTGCTTTTCCTCGATAGACATGGAAAAGGTTACTAACCAGGCTGAGGTGGCTGCCATGAGATCATCTGCCGAAACCTTCAAGAACAGGATGAGGCCTGTGCTAGCTGTGAGACTGCAATGGCAGGCAGGGGCTGGTGGGGACTGGCTTAGGGTGAACTTCTCCCATCGCTCGGTCTTTCTTGGAGTCCTCAGTGACCACAGATCAGTTCCCTTGACAGCTGTCAGTAGAGCATGAGACTCTTAATCTCAGGGTCCTGGGTTTGAGTCTTGCGTTGCAGGGCTTGGACCAGGTGATTCTCGTGGTCCCTTCCAGCTCTACAATTCTCTCTCTCTCTCTCTCTCTCTCTCTCTCTCTCTCTCTCCATGGACTGGGTCTTCTCAGAGGACGAGGATCCCACAGAGTGGATCTCTACACTTCTAGTGACCCTGAAACCCCATTAGACCTGGACATCCCTGCTCAGGACCAGGGCTGAGGGGACCCTCACCAGGAGCTTGGGCAGAGGAGTGATGGGGAGCCAGGTAGAGCTTCAGAGCTAAGGGCGTGTGAGGAGGAAGTCCTAGGAAGCACTCCTGGGTCTGTCCTGTGTGAGCTGCTGAGCTGCTTCCTTGCAGAAGAAACAAACTCCTCCCTCCCAGCAGTGGGGAAATGGACACTCACCAGCACATATGGCGAGTGGTAAAGGGTTATGGGGTAACAGGCAAGGCTTCCATGGGGGGTGGGGGAAAGGCAGTTTGGTTTGCACTGTGGGCAAAGGAGCGCTATCTGCAGCCCCAAAGGGCAACCAGCCTTTGAAATACACACACCTCTGAATTTTGCCAAGCAGCTCTCTAGCTAAGGGATGAAGGCAAAATGGAGGGGGTTGAAAGCAGCTGGCATGGGGGTGGGGGAAGATGCTACACAGACAGGCCTATATTAGGTGAAATTGCATACATGGCCATTCACTCTGATAAAACGCTGGATTTTCATACGGAAATCTCTTTTTTAAAAAATACAGGCTGATGAGGAAATGTGGAGAATTTCACTTAAGGGTGGAAACAGGAGAAACTGAGAGAAGCTGAAATGGATAGATTTGCCTTCCCTCTTTCGCAACCTTCACCGCTCCACGGGGTGCCAGCTTGGCCCATGGGTGCCCGGGGCCGTGGGTGCCATGCAGCTTGGCCCTGGCCCCTTCATGGGGAATTTTGTGGGCCTGAGGGAGTTGGCACCTATGCCCCTCCAGCAACTCTGCCTGCCCCCTCCACCACAGGCAGACACAGACAATTTGGGGACCACCTCGCCCCAGGAAGCCTGAGAAGGACCCTTGGACCTTCTCTCAGACCTGGGAATGGAGAAGCCACCATTTGAATGGCATTTGCCAGCCTGGTGCCCACCAGCTCCAGCATCCTGGGGCTTGGTTATCTGAGGCTGCTAGGAGCTGCTGTCCAAATTAGCCAGAGGGCACCAGGTCTGGGGTGGTTGCATGGCACCTTTCTGCCTATTGGCTGTTCAGGTTTGTTTTTAGATGCAAATTAACTGTGAATAATTTTGATTTGTTCCAATTTAATTTGCCTTGGGAGTTGTTATGGCTGGAAGGAGGTCTATAAGTATTGTCAGTAAATATAAATTGAAATCTGTTTCTGAAGGTCTGGAAAGGGCCCTTGGCGCTGGTGCAACGGAACCCAATCTTTGCCCAAGTAAGAGCTCTGCAGTCTGGCACAGCTCTGGAAGAGATCTGCCAGGTGTGCCTGCCGCTTGGCTCTGGCCTCCTGCTTCACAGAAGCCCCACTAAGCACCCACAAAAGCCCCCTATCCCAGGGATCCTGCTTCTGCAGCAGCAAGGCAGCTGGGCCAAGTGCTTGAGAAAGATGCCTCTGTGCTGATTCTGCCATCCGCCCTCCTTGACGTTCCTCAAACTTACCAAGAGGAGCACCGGCTGCTCTGGTGCAGCACCCTGGGCAACAGCGCTGAGAACACACCAGACCCCCACCAGGCCTCATAGCACAGCCATGAGGTCACTGCAATAAGATCTTGGAGGAATTTTCTGAAAAAGAGCAACTCTCCCCCCAGCCTTTCGCAGGAACATTAACTCTTGAGGGCCTGACAGGACAGTGAAAGGATGGGCTTTGTCATAGAGGAACCATGGGAGTCAAGCTTACAGCTCCCCACTTGTTTGAATTTGGCTTTAATAATAATAATAATTCCTGTTACCTCTTTTCCACTGCCAGGCTGATGGTGCCCTGAAGAACACCAGGCTGGAGAAAGGGCATGTGGGCCTTGGAGTTGGCAGAGTGTAGCGGCAAGGAGCTCAAACTGTGGGTCGGAAGGTCCCCAGTTCAAAGCTCGTCTCTGCCCCCTGCTCACTCCATGGCAAGCCACTCTGAGTCACCCTAAATCATCACCACCATCATCCTGACTCACCTTACAGGTTGTGGTAAGGATTATAACTAGCTAATGGATGCAAAGCAGTTTGAACACTTGAAAGCACAATACAATGGTTTGTTTTCATTTTCATAAAGCTATGGAGACCTGGGTTCAAATCCTCACTTAGCCAGGAAGCTCTCTGGGTGAACTCACAGTCTACAGCTGATCTCTGCTGACCTCACAGGAATGTTGTGAGGCACAAATCGGAGGGAACCACACAGAACACTCTGTGTTCCATGGAGGAAAGGCAGACTAAAAGGGAGATAAATCTATCTGAGGAGGGCCCTTCCATGTGGGTTGACATAGGCTGGTGCTCTGTCATACGTTAAGGAGGAGGGAGGGAAAATACCTGAGAGGCTCCCTACCCTATTTTGCAGTGGGGTACCCCAGAGCTCCAGCATGTCTCTTCTCATCTGCAGGTGCACACCTTGGGCTCGTCTGCACTTACCTTTCCTCTGCTCCTTCCAGTCCGTGCTTTAAAGCTCTGTGTCTGAGCATCCCACCCCCACCCTTTTGTAGCTTCCCCTGCAAAAACTCGCTCTTTAAAGTTCAATTAGAGCAAACGTCAGTCGGGGGAGGGGGACCTGCTCAGAAACAGAGCTTTTCAGTGTGGACTAGTGCCTGGAAACAGCAGGGCAAATGTGGACAAGCCCTTAGCCCTCTTTGCTTATATTCCTGACCCACAGTTTGCCCCAGATTCTGCAAACTTCCTTCCCCCTTGGAATCGTTCACCATCCCTTTTAGTTCAGCTGCAAACTCGCCTCCTAATTCACCACTGGTGATACTCAGTCCCCTTATTCCAGCTTTAGTTAGCATCTTACTGCTATCTCTGGTGCAGAAGTCCGGATTCATGAGTTTGTATGAAACCAGTTAATATTTCTGCCTCAGGGTCCCTGTCTCCAGCGCCCTAGAGCCGCCCAATCAGCACAAAAGGGGAGCTTTTAATTTTTATTAATTTTATTTTTCATTTTATTTTACAAATATTTTAACGAAAAAGCAAAGTCTTTACATAATCAAGCTGCATTTCCCTCAACTTCCCTCCCCTCCTTTCTGCGGTTACTAAGTTTACCATATTGGCCCGAATATAAGACGCACCTGCAAATAAGACGCACCTTTAAAATTAAAGGCTTATTTGCAGGTGCGACCTGCCTCTAGGCACTACTGCCCTGAACAGGGGGCGGCCAGCACTGGTACTTGGCGCCTCACTCCCCAAGCTGGCACTAGCGCCCTTCTTCTTCTTCTTCTTCTTCTTCTTCTTCTTCTTCTTCTTCTTCTTCTTCTTTTCTTTTTTTCCAGGCGCAAATATATTTTATTGGTTCATTTCTTGCACTTGAAGTACCTTTGGATGGCATCTTTGGCCTGAGATTCCTTGCCATAGTCTTTGACAACGACACAACTGCAGCCCACGACGAGCACACTGCGCACCTGCCTTCCAACACCACCGCCTCCCAGCACTACTTCCCCAAGCCAGCGCTGGGGGAGGCTTGGGAGCAGCAGGCGGGCTGTGCGCTGTTGCCCTGGGCTCCCGGGCTGCTTTGGGGAGGGGGCTTTGTTGGCGGCCTCCCCCCTCCCCCTTCCCTAAGGTGGCTCAGTGGAGGCTTGAGTCGGGACGGGCACCATTGTCCCACACCCCCAATGGCCCTCGTGGGCAGCTGTTTCAGCAGCGATACTGTAAGGTTGTGAATATAAGGCACACTTTAACTTTTCACAATTGGAAATTGGAGGGAAAGTGTGGCTTATATTCAGGCCAATACGGTATATTTCTTTGTTACTTCATATCCAGTTCAAACCTATTTACTAATTTTCCCTTTCTATTCCCTTTTAATTATTTCTTACGGCACATACATCTTCAAATAGTCAATAAATTTTCCCCATTATATTTTTTTAAGGCTCTCTTCTTGGTTTTTTATTCTTCTGGTAAGTTTCGCAATTTCTGCATACTCCATCCACTCTAGTTGCCTGTCCTCCTTCATTGGAACTGTTTCCTCTTTCCATCTCTGGGCATAAATCATTCGGGCAGCCATTGGGACATGCATAATTTTTTTTCCCTGTTCTTTGCGTACCTCTCCACCAATTATACCTAAAATAAAGGCTTCTGTTTTTTTAACAAAAGTTATCTTCAACATTTTTTTCAACTCATTATAAATCATTTCCCAGAAAGCTTCTGCTACATTACGTGACCACCACATATGGGAAAAGGTACCCCCCCTTTACATTTCCAACAGGTACATAATTCCGACATATATTTTCCCTAATTTCCTGAGAGTCCAATACCATCCCAAAGGAGACAAAGTCTTCTCACCCTCTGTGCTGCTCAGAGTGATGAGTTAGCTGCTGAGGATGTGCTCCAATGGTCACTCTGGAGAAATTGTTCAGTGTGCTCAAAAGCTAAGCATTTAGAACACAGAAAACGTTTTCATGAGAATGGTGTGAAAATTCTGTACAACGGAACTTCAAGGAAAAAGCAACTTGAGTCACTCTGAAAGAAGAAATTGGAGCACTCCAAATTGTTTGCCCAGAAAATATTAGATCTAAAGGAAAGGCAACACATGGAGATCTGCACTGATTGTTGCAATGCATCCCTTCTTGTTGTATGATAATTGCAAGATTATGGCACAATCTCAGAAGTGGGCATGGCTGTGGCTGTCATGAAGGAAAACGGCCCTCTGTCTCCTCCTGCATGCTCTCCCTTGTTTGCTTGATGTTCCAGGATTCTCTGAGGGGTCTGGCACACTATGCTTGAGCTGCTAGACATAGAGGATGCAATTCCAGGTTCATTTCGTGTTGCTGTAAGACAGGAGTAAAACTGTTTTTCCCCTGACCTTGTTGCAGCCACTTGCAAAGTCTGTGGAGAAAATGGCACTTCTAAATCAATCGTCCTCTGTTCTTCCCTCTCCTCAAAGTACATTTTTAAACGGGGAATGGAAGTGAATAGGGATTGCAAGATATTCTGAATCCCAGCCTGCATGCTCCCTGGGCCTGGCAGGATGGTACTTAGTCTTAAGAGCCGTCTCCCAGCAGGGCATGCAAAGGTTACCGATTGACCAAGTTGCGCTGGTGGGTGGGTGGGGGGTGGCTTTGAAGGCAAAGCATCTCATTCCTTATCAAAACTTCAAAGCTGTGTGCAGAGTGCAAGATTTTCTTTTTATCTGCTTTATCTACTTTTCTATTTATCTACTTGCACTGGTGTGCTTTCGAACTGCTATGTTGGCATGAGCTGGGACAGAGCAATGGGAGCTCACCCCATCGTGTGGATTCGAATCACTGACCTTCTGATCGGCAAGCCCAAGAGGCTCCGTGGTTTAGTCCCCAGTGCCACCCGCATTCCTAGGGGGCCCTAATAAAGACACCTGGATCTGTGGAATAGGCAGCTTTGGATTCTTGCACCTGGGGTGCGCTTGACCTCCTCCACCGCCACCATAGCATGAAGCCTCTGGCGGCCCTCTGCTTTTTGCATTAAAGGGCTCTTCTCTGGGGATCTGGGATCTCTCCAGTCATGTCCCTGTGAAGGAGGAGTGGTTGGGCTGTCTTTTATTTGTTATGTTTTATATTTTTCATAAAATTTATACACTGCTTGACAGTTAAAAACCTCAAGGTGGTTCACAAAGTGGTTTTAAAATATTTATATAACACTATTTTGTTTATTAAAATATCAAAGCAGTATACCACAAATATATGTATAACCATACAGGAGAAACCATATTAAAAAGTTAAGAGCAGCTTCCTGCTGAGGCTGGGAGTGGGTGGGTTGCAGACCAGCTGAGATCCCTTCCAAGGCCAGAGGTGGGCTTTGCGGGGGGGGGGGGATCTGCCTGGCAGGAGCAGGTCCCAGGACTCAGGTTCAGTCCCTTTCAGTACCTCCCAGGCAGAGATGAGTAAGGGCCCATGCCTGAAGAACTGCTGCCAGTTGTGTAGGCAGCCCACAGCTAGCTGGGCAACTTCCTGCATCGCCAGGCCTTGCCTTCCTCCCTCTTTCCGGAGGGGCGAGCGCTGCCAAGCCAGCCCTTCCTCACTGGAGCCTTGTGGGAAAATGCAAGGCCTTGTGGGGAAACCTTGGCCCCTGAGCTGTGGTTCAGTGAGCCTGCCTAATGATATTCCTGGGGGAGCTGGTCAGGCATCATAAACCCCAGCAATTTGCCCCAGAAGTAGGGGAGGCTGATGCAAATGTGCCAAAGGGGCTGCCTGAGCAAGCTGTTTCCTGGCTGTGCTTGGAGAGACAGGGATAATAAGGCCTGCCCTTCACAAAGGCGCCCCGGCATGGGTCACTGGTGACAAAGCGGATCCCTGCCAGCACCCAGCGCTGGGGCCTGTGTTCCAGCCCCCTCCCCCACCAGCCACCACATGTACAGGATGGCATCCCCTCCCCTATTTCCCAGCACCACATCTTCTCCAGAAAAAGGGAGGTGGAGGCTCTGGGTCCCTGATCTTGAGAGGCCCATTCCTCTGAGGCCCCCACGACTCGAGAGGACCCAGTGCATGAGCTGCTCTGCAGAGATGTTGTGCAGACTGCAAAGCCCCTCCTGAGCGCAGGGGCCTCTGGAAAATGCCGCCTTCATCTCCAGTTAGTATGGGAACACAACAAAAACCAGTCCCAACCAGTTTTGTTGGTATGCAAAGGGGGGCTGGATCAATGGGGCAGAAAAGTGCATTTGGTCATGCCAGGCGGGTGGCTGCCATCTAAGTAGAAGCCTCAAGGACATCCATGACCCTTGAGGCCTTTCAGACCCCTGGTATCATAACTCCTGAAAAAGTGGCCTGGGAGAAGGATGAAGGTTCTGGCCACCATCTCCCCTCCAGTGTTAACCAAACCAGCAAAAGATAGTGAGGACAAATGGACCTCAGGACAACTTTGGACACACAGGGCTCAAAGAGGAGATCTCTGAAGATGGGGAGGCAGCTGTAACAGGGATCGGGGAGGATCTCGTTTTGTCTGCTTTGTCAAGCAAACCAATCTGATTCACAGAGCCTGGACTCTTATGTGGGTTGGAATGCAGTTAAATCAGATTTTGCACTTCTCCAAATTGTGAGATAAAGTTTCAGTTCAAAAAATCTGCATGCTGCTTTAAAAAATGCATTTTTGAAAGCATATATTCATGAGAAATGCAAAAATAAGCATTCAATTATGCCTATATTAGGAAAAAATGTGTACAAAATGCATATTTTATGGGAAAGAGTGCAATTAAAATGTGGTTTTCTGCCCATAGTTTTTTTTTAAAGTTCTGACTATAAGGGAACAGACTATAAGGGAACAGAAATTGACCTAGAAATTGACTGCTCTGTTTATGCCTCATGTGTGAATGAGCTTAACGGACCAGGAGGTGGTGATGATCAGGGCTGGGTGAACCTTTGGGAGCACCTGAGTCTTGCAGACCCTCCTCTGTTTCTGAAGCATTGAGACCTCCCAGATGTTGTGGCGATGCCTGTCTGCTTCACGCAGCTTCTGGGAGCGTCTCCTGCCTGGGGCAATGAGAAGCCCTGGTTTGGGTTCAATAACGACTCAGGACTCACCCACACTTCTGTTTGTTGCATGATTTCTAGGCACAGGTCCAAGAGGTGTTTCTTCTGCCTCACTGCTTTCCCTTGAGGAACCTTCCACTTACTGCTGAATCAGAACAAAGTCAGTCGGGTTTTCTGCAGATTGATGTTTTCAGTTCATCAGTAAACAACAGGGAAAGTGGCAGGATGAAAGAAAACCCTCTCTGAGCCGTGCCTGGGAACCATAGGACAAACGGAATCAACCATGGAGCAAGCAGAAGTAGGGATGAGCCCTCTGTTCCAGCTGGGCAGAGGCTTTTGCTATGGACAGTCAGCTTGGGAAGATGCATTTCCAAAACCCTCAGACTTGAATGCTGCCCGAGGCTTTGCCCCAAGACACCATGCTTAGCCTTGTGCCAAGTGCAAGTTTGGCATTTGAAGAAAACACAAAGGCGAAACCCCCAAGGAAAAAGAGGGGCAGAGCACCCTCTCTGTGAACTGCCAAGGTGCCCTATAGCCTCACACTTGCCCTGAAGATCACAGAAGGACAGAATAAGAAAAGCCGGGGACAGTTGGTCCAGCCTTCCAACAGCAGTAGCAGCAGCAGGAGGAGGAGGAGAATCCAGCAGGACACCGCAGTGTGGGGTTGCCTCTATGTGCCCTAGACACAGCATGGATCCACACACCTGAAATGGAACTTGTACAAAACCCTTTGAGAAGGACAACTCTAGGGACTCACACAAATGGCATTTTCCGAAGGCAAACTTAAAGAGGTAACAGAAGCGGTAATTCTCTAGGGCAGGGAGCAGGCCATAGAGTTTCCCTAGGAACAGACAACAGGTGGAGTGTTTACAGCTGAAAGCCTGACCAGGGAACTTGTGGAGAAGCCAAGGAAGCCCTCAATAATAATAATAATAATAATAATAATAATAATTTATTATTTATACCCCGCCCATCTGGCTGAGTTTCCCCAGCCACTCTGGGCGGCTCCCAATCAAGTATTAAAAACAATACAGCATTAAATATTAAAAACTTCCCTAAACAGGGCTGCCTTCAGATGTCTTTTAAAGATAGGATAGCTGCTTATTTCCTTCACGTCTGAAGGGAGGGTGTTCCACAGGGTGGGCACCACTACCAAGAAGGCCCTCTGCCTGGTTCCCTGTAACCTCACTTCTCACAATTAAGGAACCACCAGAATGTCCTCGGCGCTGGATCTGAGTGTCTGGGCTGAACGATGGGGGTGGAGACGCTCCTTCAGATATACTGGACCAAGGCCGTTTAGGGCTTTAAAGGTCAGCACCAACACTTTGAATTGTGCTCGGAAACGTACTGGGAGCCAATGTAGGTCTCTCAGGACCGGTGTTATAAGGTCCCAGCAACCACTCCCAGTCACCAGTCTAGCTGCCGCATTCTGGATTAATTGCAGTTTCTGGGTCACCTTCAAAGGTAGCCCCACGTAGAGCGCATTGCAGTAGTCCAAGCGGGAGATAACTAGAGCATGCATCACTCTGGCGAGACAGTCTGTGGTCAGGTAGGGTCTTAGCCTGCGTACCAGGTGGAGCTGGTAGACAACTGCCATGGACACAGAATTAACCTGCGCATCCATGGACAGCTGTGAGTCCAAAATGACTCCCAGGCTGCGCACCTGGTCCTTCAAGGGCACAGTTACCCCATTCAGGACCAAGAGATCCCCCACACCTGTCCGTCCCCTGTCCCCCCAAAACAGTACTTCTGTTTTGTCAGGATTCAACCTCAATCTGTTAGCCGCCATCCATCCTCCAGACACTCACACAGGACCTTCACCGCCTTCACTGGTTCTGATTTAAAAGAGGTAGAGCTGGGTATCATCTGCATATTGATGGACACCCAGTCCAAACCCCCTGATGATCCCTCCCAGTGGCTTCATATAGATATTAAAAAGCATGGGGGAGAGGACAGAACCCTTGGGCACCCCACAAGTGAGGGCCCAGGGGTCTGAACACTCATCCCCCAACACCACTTTCTGGACACGGCCCAGGAGGAAGGAGCGGAACCACCGTATAACAGTGCTCCCAGCCCCTCTAGACAGTCCAGAAGGGTGTTATGGTCAAGGCAGTGTTTCACTTTCGCATGGCACCAACTCAGAAGTGGAGGCAGGGGAAGAGTGCTGCTGCACCAGCTGTTCACATGGGGATATTGTCCATGGTGCAAAGAGCCACCTCACATAGCTTATGCAGGGTATCCTGACCTGGTCTCTCCACCAGCGAGCAGCTCAGAGGGAAGAACTAGACCCAAGAGGGAGGCCCAGCTGGAATCCTCTTGAGTCACCTGTTTCCTGCTGAGTTGCCAGCTGCATCTATACTAAGACACACACACACACACACACACACACACACACACACACGTACGTGCTTGCCCTGAAATGTCTCACACAGCCCTGCAAAGCTCTGATTCACTGCTCCTGTGCCTGATTGGTTTTCCAAAGGTCCAGCCTGGGTTTCTTCAACCAAGAACCTGGTGAAGGTGGCGGGGAGTTGCTTGTTCTCTTTCTGAAGAGCCAAGGGCCAAGAAAACACGACTGCGGGCTGCCTGCCTGGGCCCGCTTGGCCATCCTCTGAAATGGGCAGCATTGCTCTTCCCCTCTGCTTCCCCTCTACTGTTCACAGATCCTGTCTTGGACGGGAGCCAGAGGCAATCAGGACTTTCAAAGACACGCTAAGTGCATTCAGCAAAGGAATTTAATTAGCCTCTTCCCATCCTCAAGAAGTATTTAAAGAGAAAAGCACCAGCCCGTTTGACATCTTTCATTCTAGACTCCTTTTCTGCATTTGCCACAGCATCCCTGTCATCCAGAGCAAGTCTATAATTGTACCTCTGGCTCAGAAAGAGACCTGAAGCAGTGGAGGGCAGGCACCGGGGCTGCCATTGTTCTGCTTCACCTTTGAGAGGATTCTCACAGAAGGAGCCATGGGAAACAGCCCAAGAGTCCCTTGAAACAGGACGGCCAGGAGTCATGGCTGCATCGACATGGGCATCGTTTTGATTTATGAGGTGGCTTGCAAGAAGGTGAGACGAGAGCCATGAGTTTAGCTGGCTTTTAACAAATATTAGACAAAATTCATGGAAGCTCAGGACCCATCACTTCCTGCAGAGCTCTTCTCTTGTGGCACCGGAGGGAGCCTTCTGATTCCAGGTGCCTGGCGGAAGCAGCAAGAGAACACTATTGCCTTGTTGGAAATGATAAGCTGGGCTAGATGAACCATTGCATATCACCCACCATTTCACCAATGAAAATAGGCACATCCTAAGGAACAGTGGAACATTCTGGGATCAAATCAGAAACTGGAATGGCTCCTGTGAATCTGGGGCAGTCCCTGGAAAATAGGGACAATTGGAGGGTCTGCTCTTGGGGTCTGATCCAGCAAGGTGAATTCTTAGGTGACACCAAGCCTCTTGGGGCAGAAGAACCTTCTGCAGGCACCACAAACTGTTGGGCCATCTCCCTTTTCCAGTCTCTCCCCAACCCTCTGTTTGCATGTTTAATAATTCCTTGGAAATCTTAGGAAGTTGCCACAGGGTGGGAGAGGCATGTACAGCTGTCTCAAAGGTTTCATCTTCTGAAAAACCCACAGCTGACCAGCCCTGCTGTTGCTTCATGGCGTTAGCATGTTGGAGAACAAGATTGCTTCCCAGGACCCTGAAGGGTTAAATGGGACATGCCCCCCCCCCAAGCTCCCAGCCTAGAAGAGGAATGTGGCCATTGCTGTTTCCCTGCACATTCCGTGCAGTGATATATTTAAATCTCTATTTAGCAAAAATACTGTAGGTCAAACTCCAGACCCATTCCCCAATTATATCTTTCTGTATTAGATGAAATATGTTTCTATTTGGCTCAGGGTTTGTTTTATTAGGCCTGGAAGAGCTGAGTGACCCAGCCTCAGAATAACCTTTTCAGATCACTTGGTCCTAGGCCTCAGCAAACAGAAGTTGATAGAGCAAAAAAGGAGAGGGCCTGACTCTCTTGCAGGGCAGACACAAGGAGCCCAAAGGAACTCCAAGCATGCTCAGGAACTCTGTTTGATCTTTTCTGATCAGCTGGATAGTCATCTTCCCTTCCACCCCAATTAGGGATTGTTTTTGTTAAGTTGTGGGTGAACATATCAGACAACACAGCGATTCTTCAAACAGCTCTTGTTTATTCAGAGGCCAGAACAGAACTGAACTGAAGGGTTCAGCCAGCCTGCTTATACAGTGGTGCCTCGCAAGACGAAATTAATCCGTTCCGCGAGAGTCTTCATCTAGCGGTTTTTTCGTCTTGCGAAGCAACCCTATTAGCGGCTTAACGGATTAGCGCTATTAGCGGTTTAGCGGCTATTAAAGGCTTAAAGGCTCAGCGGATTAGCTGCTAAAAGGCTATTAAAGGCTATTAAAGGCTTAGCAGATTAGATAAAGGGGGGGGGGAAGCGGAAAAAAAATCTCAAGACTTGCAAGACATTTTCGTCTTGCGAAGCAAGCCCATAGGGAAATTCGTCCTGCGAAGCAACTCAAAAACGGAAAACCCTTTCGTCTAGCGGGTTTTCCGTCTTGCGAGGCATTCGTCTTGCGGGGCACCACTGTATAGAGCTCCACTAGAATGCAACAGTAACCATTTTCTGTAACTATCCAATCACTGAAAGTCACTTTCGATCCCTTATTTGCATATGTGGACCTGAGTGAAAACTATCTACAGTATCTCCCTGCTGGCCCAGGGTGAGAACTTCAGTACATAACAGTTTTGTTTTATTTTTTACATGATGCATTTTGAATTTTCGCCTTCCTTGTGGCTTATCTGATCTACTTTTTCCCTAGCAAGGGCTTTATTCTCTTTAGCTTCTTTGGCGGTTCTAAGCTCTTTTCTCCCAGGCAGTTTCTAAGAGCTTTGAAGCTCCCATTCACCTGCCTCTGTGTCAGATATCCATCACCCTGGATGGTGGGCCGCTATCTGCATGGTTATCATGCCTGCTGACAAATCCACGGAGGAGCTGGAGAATGCAGCAAGAGGCGTCTGTGGCAAATTTGCCCCCAAATGCCAGCAGACAGGGCAGCGGCACCTTCTGGGAAGCAAACATCTCCCGGCCCCAAAGATTTCCATGCCATTTTTAAACACAGATGTGGCATTGCAAGGAGATGCTTGTGTGAAGTCAGGAGAGGAAGGAAGCCCTTTCAGAGCCTCTTAGCAGACTGCTGGATGGGCAGGTGGTGGCACACAGTGAGATGAAAGAGAGTGCAAAGCGGGGGAAAGGAAGGTTTCACTCTGAAGTGACCAGAAGGAGCAACATGGCCATATGAACACAAGAGAGGGTAAGAACAGAGGGAGAGCTTGCTGGATGAGGCCAGCGGCCCATCTAGTTCAGCCACTTGTTCTCACGGAGGCCAACCAGGTGCCCCCATCAGGGGCGTAGGAGCGGGGGTGCGGGGGGTGCTGTCCGCCCCGGGTGTCATCCCTGAGGGGGTGACAAATGGCACACCGCGGGGGGCGGCACTTGCCGTGGGGCCTGGCCTGCGGTGCTTCCGAGCCATGCGTCTCTCCTGGGAGTGACGTGGTGGCTCGGGCCCTGCACTGCCCGAAACGGCAGCATGGGACTTGCATCTGGCAGGCAGACTCCATGGGCAGCTCACCGCGGCGCCCCCTGGGCGAATCACCCTGCCCCCGCCGCTCTGGGGGCTGGAGCAGCTAGCTACGCCCCTGGCCCCCATGGGAAACCTGTATCAGGACCGGAGCATGAGAACACTTTCCCCTCTTCCCATGGCTTCCAGCAACTGGCTTCCAGGGCTCATCCACACTTCTGCTTGTCTCGAGTTATTTTTCCACTCCATCTGAGCTTTCTGGACATGAGTCTGGGCAGTTCCCCCCTTGCCCTGCTCCTTTCCCATGCAAAACATGCTCTTTAGTGCTAAATTGGAGCAAAGGCCAATCTGGAGTAAACCCAAGTTGCTTCAACTGAGGGCTGCAGAGTGCTCTCCCCCCCCCCCCCCGCACCCAGTGAAGTGTGGAGAAGCCCTCTGAAGCATGGCTGCCTCTGACTGTGCAGAGGAGTGTGAATGTGGATAAAAAACAGGCATGGCAAGTAAGGTCACATTTCCATTCCTTCCTCTGCCCATTTTGCCCATGGCCCCGCCCACCACTGGCATATGGCCCCTGAAAGATTGTCAAGAAAGGAACGTGGCCCTCAAGCTGATAAAGGTTCCCCACCTCTGATCCAGAGGCCATCTGGAAGAAGCAGTGTGTGGCTTCCCACGAGGGAACCCAGAGAGAGGGGGTGCGGGTGGGGAGAGAGAGAGAGCTGCAACCTGCTTCCTGTCCATCACTCCCCGTCTCCTGTGGAGCTGAGACAAAGGCAGCCTCATCTGGGCCTCCTGGCACATACTTCTAGCGTCCATTTCTGTTGCAGGAGACCTCCCAACCGCAGGAGGAGGAGGAACCTGATTGCTAGGCAAAACATACATATAGCCAAAGGTTTCAGCTTGAAACGGGGGTGGGAGGGGAGAAGTAGGGGGCGGTGGAGGGGCCAGCGGCTGACTGGCCTTTTCCCAGCAGCTCAGTCAAGTGGTCCTTCCTGGGCCTGGCTCAGGCGGATTCCAAAGAGCAGTTCTGCTCGGTACGAGGAGGAAATCCAGCTCTCAGGCTGAGCCGGTTTCGCCTGGTTCCAGACAAACAGCTGGACATTTCTTGGAGATGCTCCACAATTCCACAAACAGTGTGATCCGCAGCATTTTCCTTCCTCTCCCTTTTGGATGTACTTCCCCACCCCCAAATTGTATTTCAGATGTGGCTGCCGTCAGAAATCAGGCAGAATCCATGGTGGCCTTTGGCTTTTCCTGTGAAGCAGAAACGTGCTGCTTGATGCAGATGAAGAGGGACCCTCACTGGCCTCAGCTAGAAAGGCCGCCTTGGGTAGGGCAGCAAATGCAAAATCTCCAGGCATAAGGTTTGTTGAGCCACAAATCCACAAAGAGTGACTCCTCAACATGGTATCAATCCCGCCTGTTCAGCCTGGGGTTAGATTTCTGACCAACATGTTGTCTCCCCCAGACCCCACCCTGCAAAAAATAATAATAATAATATTCCTTGACACGATAGTTCATAAGTTGTTGAGAATTTCCCATGTTAGGTCTTTGCCCCTCCTCATAGAATAACAGTTTCTGGAGTTCTCTAAACAAAAAACAAAAAACCCCCAGCCAGTTCCCAGGCGATCTGCAAAGTGGGGTCTCTGGATCCACAAACTTGAGACATCACCCATCCCTACCCCAGAGTGGGTACGAAACGGACTTCAGAGGGGGAAAGGACCTCCCACACCTCAAGGGATCATGAATGGGAATAAATTTCACAAACACACAGAGTCCTGATTGCAAGCGTCTGCCTTGGAGCAAAAAGAGATTCCTTCGCATCAATGGAGGGAGCCTTACATCCTGGTGTAGTCACCACCCCTTGTTTTTAAATACCTTTGGAGATACTGTTTTAGAAGGGGCAGGGGGAGCCAGGCCCTTCTTCTTCTTCTTCTTCTTCTTCTTCTTCTTCTTCTTCTTCTTCTCCTTCTCCTTCTCCTTCTCCTTCTCCTTCTCCTCCTTCTCCTCCTCCTCCTCCTCCTCACTAGGGCACCCAGTCTGGGAAGAGGGCTTCTTTCCTTCCTCTCCTATTTCAGTTGAAACATCAGCTTTCCAAACTCTGATTGTAACCCATTGGCTGCAGGGCAGAGTGATGACATCCACTCCTGCTAGGAAGCCATGGAGCTGAGGGGCTTTAGCTGTGGGCTTCTGGGTCATCAGCACACCCAGCCTTCATGCCATCCCGGCAGAAGGACACTCACCTAAAGGAGCTTCTCCACAAGAGCCCCAGCTCCCCCTTGGCAAGGCCCCTTCCCTCTGCAAGACGCTTTGAAATACTCTCAAGACAGAAGCCATGGGGTGGGGTGGGGTGGGGGTTGCTGAAGCTTTTGCCACAGGCCCTGGACCTCTAATTTTCTAATTTTCCTTTGCTTTTAGGGTGGCTGAGCAATCTGGATAACTGGTGGGATGGATCCAGGCAGCCACCATGCCAATTTCCCAGAGGCACTAATGCAAGTACCTTGGCATATGCAGATTCATATGCCACCAGGAGTCCTGGCAGTGCCCAGTGGCAAGGTTTCCACTCCTCTTTCAGTCTGAAACCCCACCCTGAGTCTTTTTGAGGGGGCAGGGGAGGGGAGGGCTACAGTATAATTTGTTCTCTGTCTTTCCACAAAATTTTAAGGCAACTCTTGGAATTGAGGGAAATAATTAAATCTTGTAATAGTTAATAAACAATCAGAAAAACAATGACATCAGACAAAAGCCCTAAAGCAGAGGCAACAGTGCAAGGCTGTGACCATTAAATTCTTAAAGTTTACATAGCTCTGCAAAGACCTTGCTTGTCCAGACATTGCCCCATCTTCCATGCCCCGCCCCTAATTGGGTGGCAACCTTTTTCTCAGCTGAGGGTGCCAACTGAGTGACTCCAGCTTAACTCAGAGGTCCCCCCCACAAGTGGAGGTTGCAAAAATGTGCCCCTGGAGGGAGCCCCCCTCCCTTCTTCCTTGGCTAATTCTCCTGCCCGTCATCTTTGCACCAGGTCTCCTGGTGTGGATAGAAATCTCCCTCTATATCCATATATTTCTTTACTGACAACCTTCTCCAGCTGATCTTGTTCTCCTTTGAAGGAAGGCATTTTCCCTCACTGTCTGAAAGGAGAGCCAAAAAGCAAACAAACACACAGGAGAGGTGGACTGAGGGGAGAGGGGCATTTCCCAGAGGGGAAAATGAGACAACAAGGATGTCTGTGAAGCACCATGCATTCTTAGCTGTGTTGGCCAATGCAGGGGCTGTTCTGAAATACAATGCACAGGGTTTGTTGCCTTCTGCCCACCTCTTACACTAATGCACCCCCCTACGTTGCCTACATGTACCACATCACACTCTCTGTGTACCCTACCTTTGACAACAGTCACATTTGCGCTGAGAGAGAAGGGTGTTCTTAGTTTTAAATTACTTAATTCAGGCAAGAATTGTGTTGACTCATATGCAGTGTGGGCTGTGGAACAATAAAGGCCCCTCCCTTTCCACTTAAAGAGCAGTATTTTGAGCTCTTGGCATTTTCCAGGGATATTTGCGATGCATCTTTGCATACACTCTCAGATGGGATGAGCTGCAGAGCTGAGAATAGTTCCAGGTTGTGTTTCTGTAGGTTGTAAGCCTAGTTGTGGGGCAGGACTGCATCAGGTCTACGCAGAGCCCAGCCCAGCAGCCTCTTGCTCTAAGAACAGGAAGAGGAGATGGTGCACCTGGGACATCCTTCCTCTTCCTCTTCGTCTTGTGCTGCAAAACTGAACCTTCCATTGCTACCCCACCCAATATTCTTTAATTGTTCCTTTAAAAAAAACACAACAAATTATCAGCTTGTGAAAGGAGATGAGTTACCATTTTGCACAAATGTTTGGTTGTCAAAACCTCCAGATTTCTGCTTTCCCAGGACACTTTCCGTTGCCAAAAGCTATCAAAGGAGAGAAAGTGAATTCCTGCCGAGCGAGCAACAAGGACGGCTGTTTCCCTGTCATGGTTTCATTGGTTACTGCTCCTCAACTGCATGCAAATGGCAGGACACCCTCCTTTCTTTCTTTCTTTCTTTCTTTCTTTCTTTCTTTCTTTCTTTCTTTCTTTCTCCCCTTCCTTTGCTGCATGCCTAAAGCCTCCGTCTCCCTGCTTTCTCTGAGTTATTAGCTTGACTTTTTATTGGGTCTGCCTCGTCAGATGTCGAAGTATTTCATCCATCAAGTCAGACTCTTTTTAACACTAATACTGAATTTATAGAAGTGGTTAAATGAAGTGTTGACAATATGGACCACGTGTTTCTGATTAGCACTGCAATTTAAAGAGAGAGGCAGCCAACTCCTTTGAGCCACTGAAATAGGGCCTGGTGAGTGAGAGAGCTTCCCTTTTCCCTTTCAGAGCTGATGGGGGCAAGGCGGAAGACAGCCCCCCCCCCGAGCACTAACAGATGCTGGTCCTGGAACTTGCCATGGATTCAGGGCTGGCCTGCTTAGATGCAAGGAGGGCTCTCCTCCCAATGCTTTGTGGTGCCTCTGTGGCCACTAAGCCCCATGCTGTGGTCGGAGTTCTCTCCTTTCTATTGTTTGGATTGGGCCTAGTTGCCAATTTGTTTTCTTTTTTTGCTAGCAGCCAAGGCATCTTTCAAACCCTTTAAAAAGATCCCCGCCCCACCACCTGCCACCACTGACCGTGCCGGATTTAGGGTGGTGCGGGCGAACAGGGTGCTGAGCTGAAGAGGCACAAAACTGAAAAGTTCCATAACTGAGAAGATCCATTTTGGGGCGCTAAATTTTGGCCTTGCACAGGGTGCCATATTATGAAAGATTACCAAAGTCCACCTCTGTCACCTCTGCACCTCTGTCAGCAAGAGCCTTGCTAACCCCAAAGAGCCTTGTGGCACCCTGAATGGAGTCCTTGCTCTGGCACAACAAGCATCTCAAACATAGTCCCCAAGAAATGCTCCGTTCTTTTGTCCTCCTCTCTAGCAGTTCTCTGCAGTATAGAGTGTGGATACATTTTATTTTTAACAACATTTTTGGATTCCGCCCAACTGGATACCAGCCCAGTGGTGGTGTAACCAGAGCTTAGTGGAATGCCTGCGCCGCAAGGTCCTTTCAGTGGCTTCGGAGAGGAAGCCCCAGGAAAGGAGGCAGAGGGCGGGGACCACTTCAGCACTGACCAAGAGGTGAAAGGGTTAATTGCACCCTAACCTTTCTGACAAGCTTGTGGTGGCCATGTGGTTAGACCGCTTAACTATGTGCTCAGTGCTGCTGCAGTAACAAATGATGTTGACAAATTGGAAAGAGCTCTGAGGAGGAGAGCAGCAGCAACATGCTGGAAGCCAAGCCTGAGAGCACAGCCTGGAGGAGCAACCAGGGAAGTTTATCCTGGGGGGCAACATTAAGCCATGGAGGAGATATGTTGGATGTGACCAAATATTTTAAAAAGGCCAGATAGAGGACAGCCACAGTTGCCTGCCCGTCTTTCAAGGACAGCACAAGATGCAATGCTTTTTGGAGGTAGAGTTGGGTGGAGTCACACAGAATTTTCTGCAGAGAACTTAAGAGAAGAGGGCCACTTCCAGGTCATCAAAAAGTGGACATAAAATTCACATAAAATTTGCACATGCTAATTTATCTGTGGGACGCGGGTGGCACTGTGGGTTAAACCACAGAGCCTAGGACTTGCCAATCAGAATGTCGGTGGTTTGAATCCCCGTGACAGGGTGAGCTCCTCTTGCTCGATCCCTGCTCCTGCCAACCTAGCAGTTCAAAAGCACGCAGTGCAAGTAGATAAATAGGTACCGCTCCGGCGGGAAGGTAAACGGTGTTTCCCGTGCACTGCTCTGGTTCGCCAGAAGCGGCTTAGTCCTGCTGGCCACATGACCCAGAAGCTGTACGCCGGCTCCCTCGGCTAGTAAAGCAAGATGAGCGCCGTAACCCCAGAGTCGGTCACGACTGGACCTAATGGTCAGGGGTCCCTTTACCTTTACCTTTAATTTATCTGTATCAATGTGCATTTAGAAATAATTGCAGTGATTTGTGGAGCAATACAATGCATCTCAACGCAGCACAGAAGCTTGTAACCAGGTGAGCTGGGTGCCCTCGCAGCTCAGCCTATTGTCCAGATGATGCTAACTGTGGATGGGCTACAAACGCACACATACAAACACGCACACAAGCACACGCACACACACACCCTTCCTTCTTAGGGTGCTTTACCTTTATTTGGATCTGGACTAGACAGCCCTTCAAACAAAGGACTCTCTTCCACAATGCAGGACACATGGCCACCCTGGAACTCAGAAGCCTTGCAGAGAGAGTTACTGCTGATCCCCAGAGAGCCTGTGTGGGTCTGGCTAGGAAAAGGCAGAGTGAAAACTTGGACAGGGTGCAAGAAAGCACAACAATGCCTTGGCATCTCCAAGAGTTCTCCCAACTAGCTTGCAATCTTGGGTCTTTCCCCTGTAACTCTAAACCTTAGCTGTGTTTAATTCCCGCCGCCCCCCTCCCATCTTTCCCAAGGAGTGAATCACTTCTTGAAAAACAACCCAACTCCTTCCTGATGGACTATGCTGTGTGCACGTCAAGAAGGAAAAGCACCCCAGAGTTTGAGCTGGTGGGGCCTGGGCTTGGGGAGCTGACAAAGAGAAGACCTGCCAGCGCTGCTCTCTGCCTTTGCTGGCTGAGTGAGGGGGGTGCTGGACTCAATAGAGCACATGGCTGCCTATAATTAAAGTGGTACATGGTTGCATTAGAGAAGGGGTTCCCCAACCTTTTCCACTCCCCACCCCAGTTCCATAAACACATAAAGCCAGTGCCCCCTAGCCGACCCTTTAAAAAATATCATTTAGAATAGTGGTTTGCACAACCCACTAAGGAATAAAATAACTTGATATAATTCAAAACACTAACCATTAATTGCACATTTATTCAAAATCCAGTTAAAACTATCCCCCCCCCCGACTATTCCAACTGAGCTATTTCGTTTAGTTAATTCAACAAAACTGGGGAACTTGATCCAGTGATGCCAGCTTTTTGAAGTCTGATAGTTATTTACACTTCCTGTACCCCCTGTCCTGCCCCCCCCCGGCCTCTCTCCACCCCCCAGGTAATCCCACTTCTCCCCAGGTGCCTCTGGCCACCTCTGATCAGGCCACCTCCAGGAGTTGACATCTATTCAGTTCTGCTTCGGCTGAAATG